CGTTGCCCCTGGCCCGGCCCCCCTTCGGGGTGCCCAAGTGTCACGCCTCTTTTGTCGCAGTGAGCAATGGTCCATCACAGAAGAAACGCTTCGGGTGCAGAAGCAGGCCATGCGCTTGAGACAACCCCACAATGTTGGGTCGAGCTCGGATGCTCACTCACTCTTGGCGGCTCCCCCTTGGGGTGCCCAACGGCAAATCTGGCTACATCGCGGAGCGCGCTGGGCCACCTAAAAAGAAACAGATGGGGTGCACAAGCAGGCAAGCCGCGTGAGACATCCCCACAGTCTGGGCGCGAATCCTGCCGCTGGTGCCCTCGCACTAGAAGTGCTAAAACCAACTCCTCGCTTGAGACAGTCCCACACTCAGCTTCGAAAGCGGAAGATGTTTGTCATGAGACATTCTCGCAATTTCGGCGCGAGCTTTGGAGTGGCTTCGCCCCTGGCGGCGCCACCTTGGGGTGCCCAGCCGCCGCACTTGCAATATGGCGGTGGGTAGTGGACCGCCAGGAAAGTATGAGTGATTCTGAGTCAGGAAGAGTATGTCGGAGTGAGGGAATCCGAATGCGTATGATTGAGAGTGCGTCTGAGGCCGATTCCTTGAGCGAGTCTGAATATGGAGGTGAGGTGGCTGAGTCTGCATGAGGAAGGGGGAGCCTGTGATGGGCCTCGTGAAGAAGAGTGGGTTTGTGATGGAATGAGTTGTCCGAGTATGAGTATCTGAATGGTATGAGAGCGAAGAAGGGAAAGTAGGGGAAAGAGGAAGGAGGCCTAGAAGCTTTCAAGTAATAACAAGAACACCATCTTAGGACATTGAGAAGCAATTCCTGGGAAATCTATGATTTGGTCGTCTTGGGGCCCTCTTGGAAAGGCTCTTGGAGGCCATGGCGTCATGGCGGCCTCTTGGGCCATCTTGGAGCCACCTTGAGCGTCTTGGGCACATTGTGTAGCGACCTGCAGCACCCTCGGACCGTCTGGGCGGGCTCTTGGAGGTCAATTTGCCCGTCTTGAGCCCCAGACCATCATTGCGCTATCATCCGCAGGAGCTCATGGGAATCGCGCCAAGCCCCAGGAGTATGTCGAGTTTAGGGTCAGGACTGAGGCTTAGAGAATCGAGCAGGGGACATGCGGACACTCCAACTCGTGCCCGCAGGCACGGCGACGGATATTCTCCTCCTGGGCCCTGACAGGGTGCGGGGTGCCCCTTGCACGAATTGCGCACTACGCTTTGAGGTTGGTACGGGGTTGGGGCGCTCCTTCTTGGAGTTCTTGTCGTAGTCATCGGCAGAGGTCCAGAGAAGATGGTGGAGGGGGGTACGAGTGGGTTGGGGGTGGGCTGGAGGAGGATGTCGAGGAGAGGTGGGAAGGATGAGGGGGTGAGGAGGACGAGGAGGAACCAACCAAATAACACATACAACATTGATCCCCGTGACCACCCGCATCCCGCATTGTTTGTGGAAGCTGTTTTGTACCCAGGCGATGTTCCTAAAACTCTGCCACACACGGTAGTTTTCTTCTTTATCGTAGCATTCGCACTTGCATTCGTATTATTATTCGTCTTCTTCTTATCTTGAGGATGCTCCCAGAGTTTTGATGTTCATCGTCTTCGGACCTCCTCCTCCTCATCATACTCGCTCGCCTCACCCTCGTCCTCCCCTTCCCCCCATTCCCGTGTACATCCCGCCTCACTCACTGCCTCCCTTCCTTTTCTTTCCCTTTTCCCCATTCCCATGTTCCTCCCATCGCCTCCGTTCCGCTCTCTGCTGCTAGAGGGGGGGTCTGCGGGAAAGTCTTCGCGATTCACGATTCTCTGCGCCACTGCTGAACGGTCAGGCGCATGCGGTGCGCCAGGGGAGGGCATCCTGAATGGGATGCCCTTTTCTGCCATATGACGAAGAGCCCACGGTTCCCTCAATTAGAATGCGATCAAGCCTGCCCAGCTCAGCGCGGTTCGGTCCAGCGCACGACAGCCTAGCCCAGGCGCGGTCGAGTACGAATCAGTGCGTTTGTGCGCAGCAGAATCAACCCAGTCCAGTGCTCTTGACAGGCATCTGGCGGCTTTGCGGGGGCCGGGCGATTGTCTGCCGAAAGGTCGCAAGCTAGCCCGTGAGAAGTTCAACCAAAAGTACACCCGCGGACGCAATCCTCCCCGTCATCCTCTTCCGCGCGTCTTCTGCCTGGAAGACATCTGGAACATTCGCCTGTGCGTGTGTTTAAAGAAGGAGGCTGTGCGCTTAAATGTAGGTGCTAGTGTGTGTATGTGTCTTGCGAACGTGTTGTGTGTATGTTGTGCGTTGTTTTTTTGTTGTGTGTGTGCGTGCGTGCGTGTTTGCGTGTGTGCGCGCGCGTGTGTGAATGTGTGTGTGTTTGTGTGTGACTATGTTCGGATCTATCTCCAATTCAGCAAGCCCACGGCAAAGGACACCAGGGGGGCATGTGGGGTTAACGAGTGGACACAAGGGGCACCGGGGGACATCAGGGGAAGCGTTGGGACAGCATCAGGAACACGATGGGACATGATGGAACACAACGGCATAGCATGGGACAACATGGTAAAATATCGGGAGAGGTCAACAGGGAACACGAGGCCAACAGGCGACCACGAGGGAACACGATGAGGTCATCAGGGGGTACGAGGTACCAGCGGGGGACAACAGGGGACACCAACACATGACACAAGGGAACATGATGGCACGCAACAAAACACGAGGGGACAGTAGGGGACACGAAGGGACACCAGAGGACAGCAAAGGACAACAGGGAACCCAGACGGAACCCAGAAGGGCTTGCATGAGGCAGTCAGCGAGGGTACCCCCCAAATGGATTAGCAGTTGTATGCGTTCACTGCGTACAAGCCGCGGCTGTAAGAGGGGATCCACGACATGGGCCCCTCCTTGTAGTCCCGCGCGCGCTCGTGTCATATTCAAGCGACCATGTAGCATCGCAAACGCCAATTGGACTACGCATGTTCGTAGAGGTCGAGGGCATCTTGGCATCTTGGCAGATGGGCACCGCTTTCCCCAAAGGCGCAGACGGCACATCCAGTGCGCAGCACACCGTGCATCCGATCGCCCGCGCACTCGTAGCTGCAGCGGCTCCAGCGCTCGGCTCGTCTACGGCTCTGCCAGCGCGTCGGTGCACGGGGCGGCGCAGAGGACCCGACCGAGGGTTGCTTGCGCCGTGCCCTCCCCGAGGGCGTGGTCGCCCCTGTTCTCCCGCAGGGGGGACGCCGCAGATAGACGTCACTGGCGAGGCCTCTGCGCTGGACGACCCCCTCCAGCATGTGATCGGGCTTGTCACCGGCCACAGCGATCAGGCGACCGCAAAGCGTGGATCAAGGGGGCGTGGATTAGCGGCGGGCCCCGCTTCCGTGGGTAATGGCGGATCTCCGCCGCCGAGCGAGGCGGAACCGGCCGCATTTGGGGGAGGGCACTTCCCCCGATCCAGGGATTTGGCGACCGCGCGCCAGATCCATGGATCGCTAATCCTCCATGTCCCCGAAGCGAGGCGATCCCAGATGCTCTGGAGACGAAGCGCAATGCCGCGTCAACAGAACAGCAGCCGGCACGACCAGCCCCTCCTGCCCAGGTTCCAGCAGCCCCTGCCCGCGGACTACCATTCTCAGACCTCATGGGAATCCGGGGAACGGCCCCAACGTGCTCACGAAGAAGCACGCCGTGCTCCCAAGTAGGACTGAGATGCGTTCCCAAGCCTTTCTGCAGCTTGCTTCCGGTAGCGTGCGCAAGGTGTTCTTTCCTCGCCCGAGGTCGGCGCTCGCGCGTGGCACTGCGTGTTCGAGCCCATGGGGTGCGGGGGGTGATGCGGGGGCAGGCAATTTCGCAAGTTTCACCTGCCCCCCCTTAAAGTCAAGCAGTCGAGAAAGGCCGACATGTTCTACAACATGGGTGCCGAAGACATTTCAGAACTTACCCTCGCCACTGCGAACAAACCACCGCTTGATCATCACTGCAGCCACCGGCTTCGTGTCGCACCGCGGTCGTTGCATCGTGCCCGCGCGTGTGAAATCCACGCGGCCCCACACCGATCTGAAAACCCACAGATGTGAAGCGCGGGGGGGGAGAGATTCCGTGGGGAGGGGCTGGCTTGCTGCACGCGCGTCGAGGAGGCTCTTCTGCACGTGGAGGCTGCGTTGTCAGACTCCGCTGCGCGCGCTGGTTCGATGCGCAGCGTCGTCTCTGCAGAACCCCGCGGAATGCGAAACGCCAAAGCTGTTTCGCGGCGCGCATCCTCTGGCCCACTTGCCGGAGACTGGATCGGAGGAAGGACGGGGGGCGAGGGGGCCGGAATGGGCGGGCGAGAGGAGCGGGGGGGGGACCCTGTGAAACGCAGGGAGGCGGTGGGGAGGGGGGGGGGGGGGGGAGGGGGAGGGAGAGGAGGGGGGGAGATGGGGGGGGGGGAAGGGAAGGGGGACCGGGGAGAGAGAGAGGCATAGGCCCCACACGCTCCTCCGAAAATTCTCCATTGCCTCCGCCGACTAGCCCTGCAGCCCCACTGACATACAGACCCGCAGACCCGCATTCCCGCTCCCCCTGGGGCACGAGGAGAAGGGGCGGGAGGAGCAGGCGGAGGAGGAGGAGGAGAATGAGCAGGAGCAGGAGCAGGAGCAGGAGGAGTAAGTCGATGTGGCCGGCGAACCGCGAGATGTTGCGGAAAGCTCGCGAAGCCTTGCGCAAGCGAGGGTCTTCGGGGGTTGCGGGCTTTTCACGAAGACACGATGAAGGATGCAACGCAAGACGAAACCGACGACGGCGGAGAAAACGACACCGCCGCCGCCGCCGCCGCTGCCACCGCCGCCGCCGCCGCCGCCGCTGCCGCCGCCGCCGCCGCCGACGAAAACGACGACGAAGACATCGAGGACGAGGGCGGCGGCGGCGGCATCGACGACGCCACCGTCTGCGTCCGCGTGGCGGCCAGAGGCGCAGAGCGTGAAGCGGGCGCTGTCGCGCGTCGTCGGCGAGGAGAGGACGGCCCACTTGCTGAAGATGCTGGGGCTCAAGATGATGGCGCAGCCTCAGGCCCATCGTCGTCGGCGTCTCCCGCTCTCGAAGAAGATCCCGATAAACAGAAGGTCTGACAGCTCCGCGCTGGTGTCTTGCATCTGCGCTGGGCTCCCCTGGCAGCGCCTCCGGCACCGCTCCTTGGCGCGCTGCGCGCGCCAGAAATGGGGCCCAGTGCGGATCCATGACATCCGCGCGGACCTCCACAGGCCTGTTTATGCTTACAGTGGGGGCCCATGCCAAGAAACATCCTGCTTGCCTCCAGGGCGCCCTGGGTTTCTTGGGTTTTGATGGTTTTGCTATGGAGAGCGTGACGTTCCCACCTAAAAAATCCATGGACGTCCTGGGGTCTCAGGGTTGGGTTTCTTGTGGAAGGTTTCTTGTGGACTGGCCTCCACTGTGTGTCTTTTTCCCTCTCTGACCTCTCTTGCGCTGTCGAAGCCCAGGGCGGAATGCTGTTTCGCCGCCTCTGGCTGCTGGTTGCCAACCGCTGGGCCCCAGGGCCATCAACAAAGCTCCGCTCGGGGTGAGCACCTGGTCCGAGGCTGGAGAGCCCACGCTGCGAAAAGCTTACGACGCCAGGGGTAATTACGGGGCTTGCGAGACGACGCCGTCGTCCCCCCTCGTCCTCAGCCGCTTCTGGGGCCTCGGGCCAGGGTGTCCCAGCGGGACAGCGTTGGAGCGGCACCGCCCGCCCCCCAATCTTAAAAATGGAAAGAAGTCGTCATTTTTTGAACCTCAATCCATCCTTAATTTCTAATCTCAATTAATTTTAAAATTTGGAAAAAAGTCGTCAATTTCTAACCTCAATTCATCCTTAATTTCTACGGGGAGGCCCGGGGACAGTCTCGAGGATGAGGGCGGTCCGTTTGGAAAGACAGCCTCGCGTGGAATGATCGGCCCAGGGCACGCCCCGCGCGCCCTGGCCGAGGGCCCCCTGCCCCGCTACATGGGCCGGGCATATCGTTGCCGAGCCACCGGTCGTCTGAGCAGGACGACGTCGTGAGCCAGGACGACTGGGGCGGCGCTTGGCAGCGGCAGGGCTGGTGCTGGACGAGGGTGGTGGCGGCGTGCGGCGACGGGCGACCGCACGAGGGATCATGGGCGATGCGGGGGGGGGAGGGGAGGGATGGGGGCAAGCGGGCTGCTCTCGGCCTCCGGATGTCTCCCCAGCTTTCTGGGTGCGCATCGTGCCCCATGAGGAGCCGAGGAGCTCCACCTACTGCACCAGCGCCGCCCCCCCCCCCAGGCATCTCGGCACACCCCTTAGCATATGGACCGTGCTCCACAGGAAGCTCCACTTCCGGCACCAGTGAGGGCGCCCGCATGGCGACTCCCCGCCCATTTCGGCACACCCTCACACGCATCGCTCCCCGTAGGAGTTCCACCTACGGCACCAGTGAGGATGCCCGCGCACCCCTCACACGGACAGTGCCCCATGGGGAGCTCCACCTACGGCACAGCGTACCCCCGCCCATGCCAGCACACCCCTTACATGTTCCGCGCCCACACGCACACACATCACACACATCACACCCAACACACCCAACACAAGCAGCAGCACACACCACGCGATGACACACACACACAAACACACACACACACACATGTTCCGAACACACAAACGCACACGCACAACATTCAGAACACACATGACCCACACAAACCTCACACATAGCACAAACAGCACACGCACACGACACACAACACACATAACACAAACCTTACACACACCGGACACACATATCTTGTACAAGTGTGTTGTCTGAGCCTGGGCACGCACGCGCCACTTGTGCACGATAGGCACGCATCTACTTACAACAAGTCAGAGCCATGCCCTGCTTTACGCGCGGCTGCATCTTGTCGTTTTTTCGCCAGACTGCTGTTCTTGTCCTGGCGTGTGAGTGTGTGTGTGTGTGTGTGTCCAGGCGCAGGCGGGGAAAGCTCGTAGGAGACGAGGAGAAGGACGATGAAGAGAGGGAGAAAAGGAGGGCCGCACCAGGCTTCGGGCAGGCTGTCTCGAACCTCCCTGCCCGACCCCATCCTCCTCTCCCCTACTCGAACCCCCCTACTCGACCCCCTTACTCGACCCCATGCTCCTCCTTCCTTCCCTTCTTCTCCTCGGCCCCTTCGCCTTCGTCAGCCCCAGGTTGAGGGAGATGATGGCGAGGACGACGGAGAGGACTACGAATAGGAGGAGGACGGTGGATGCGGATCGGGAGGAAGGTGCAACCAAACACAGCTTGGGCCGCGTCCCTCTTCCCAACGTGTGCAGCAAGAGCAGGACGGAGAAGGGGAGGGGCAAAGGCGAGTAGAGTCGCGGTTCGAGACGTGGGGGGAAGCTCCCGGCGGGATGTGGGAGAAAGGAAGCGGTAAAGCAGAATTGGCCAGGACGAAGGTCAGGGTCCCGCAGGTCTTTCGCCGACGGGCCGAAGACAATTTACCGTGTTGAAGGTTTTCGCAACCAAGCGAGTTGAGGAGGTCCGGCGGGACGAGGCCCAGCCAGCCTCCGACAATATTTTTCCAGCCTGCGGCCCCAGAGCTCCAGACTCCTTCCCTGGAGGTCATCGTTGCTCTTCGGCTCTGTCTTCCGTGGCCCGAGGGCTCGGCAACGGGCCCTGGATGCCAAGATCGAGGACACGCACCTGGAGGGAACCAATCCTATCCTCGGAGATCCAGGGGAGCAGGTTGGAGGAGGGGCAGGAGGAGGAGGAGGAGGAGGAGGAGGAGGAGGAGGAGGAGCCCCACATACGGCGTCTGATCCCGTTCGGCCGCCGAACGGGCAGCCGAACGGGCTCGGTTCCGACAGGATCGAGAGAATCGAGCCCGTTCGGCCGCCCAAGGGGCTCGATCGTGAGTCCACTCGGTGGCCGGATGAGCTCAGACGCCAAACGGGCTCAGATCGGGCGGGGCAGTTCCGGAACGATCTGAGAAGGCCGCGGCGCCCGAGACATTCTCCAGAGCCGCTGGATCTCAAATATTATCATATTATCCTGACCCGAATTTACCCTTGTCCTGGCTTGTTTTATCAGAGAGGAACTCTTGAGAGGAGGACAGGCTGTGCTCGAGGACGAGGCAGACGGAACGAGACAGAAGCAGGAAGGAGGCGAGGAGCGTTGGGAGCCCTGAGCTTGACATCGCTCGGACGTGTGCAGCTTTGTCCGGCGATGACCATCGAGGCGCTTCCTGGACCATCTGGCAACAGAACGCGCGCACGACATCGAAAAATGCACGGGTCATGAACGTCCGAGCGATGGCGAGGAGAGCGGGAGAGAGGGGGGCAACGATGTTTGGGCGGCCTCAGGTGCGCCCGGGTGCTACTGCCACGCAGCTGCCGCCACCTCAGCGTCCGCTGGCCACGCCCATGCTGCTCATCGCCATGATCTATCCATATCCACCGCTTCATTCGGGGTCGTGCCCAGCGACTTTGGGGGGTGCTGGATATGGATATCCACCCGTCCCTCAAGGCAATATTATATTCATGGTCGGGCCTGTCCCTCTACAGGAGGGTTATTCAAACATAGTCAAAAATAATATGGGGACGGCTTTCCGACTAGATTTAAATATGTGTGATTATTATTTGAATGTATGTTTCGTCCAAAATCCGCCTGTAGGAGGACATGCCCGACCTAAACATATCTATGTATACATATATATATATACATATACAGACACACACATATATATATATATATATATATATATATATGTAATGTATATATGTCCATATATATATATATACATATCGACAACCCGTCGGACTCCAGGCAGCGACTCCGAAGCAGTGGGTGTGGACATGCATCACGGCCCCTCTCTGCGACCAGCTTCGAGCCCTGTCCCTGCGGGTCCGGTCGTCGCCGGGGTATCGGACGCCCCCGCTGGGGCTCCTGGAGGAGGAGAAGGAGGAGGAGGAGGAGGAGGAGGAGGAGAAGGGGAAGGGGAAGGGGTAAGGGCAGGGGGAGGGGGAGGGGGAGGGGGAGGGGGAGGGGACAAGCCATGTGCGCTCGCGTCATATCTGTCGTCCTACCCCTCCCTCCCATCCCTTACCATGGCGCTGATTTTCTCTATCCGCGGACGCGTGTCGTAGCGGACCTGTGGCTCCGCGCGCGCGTGCGTAGTGGGTGGTGGTGCGCGTGCGTGCGTGCGTGTGTGCGTGGTTGTGGTTATGGTTATGGTTGTGGTGTGGTGGTGGTGGTGGTGTGGTGGTGGTGGTGGTGGTGGTGGTGGTGGTGGTGGTGGTGGTGTGTGTGTGCGTGTGTGCGCGTGTGCTGTGGTGTGACGTGGTGTGGCGTCTTGGTGGTTTGGTGGTGGGCCAGGTGCGTGCGTGCGTGATGGCGGTGGTGGTGGTGGCGGTGGTGGTGTGTGTGTGTGTGTGTGTGCGTGTGTGTGTGTGCGTGTGTGTATGTGTGTGTGTGTGTGCGTGCTTGTGCGTGCGTGTGTGTCTGTGTGCGCGCGCGTGTGATGTGGTGTGACGCGGTGTAGCGTGGTGGTGGTGGGTGGGGTAGTGGGGTGGTGGTGGCGGTGCGCGTGCGTGCGTGCGTGCGTGCGTGCGTTGGTGGGTGGAAGTGGCGGTGGGCGGGGCGGGGCGCGGTGCGGTGGTGGCGGGCGGACGGGCGCGCGAGAAAGAGGCCCGCGCTGGGGCGAGAACGCCATCCTGAACGACGGAAGCAAAACACCGATCCGAAAATGAGACCCACGCTGCAGCGGGGCACGATTCGGAACGAGCGGGGCCCGAAAATGAGGCCGGCGCCTCAGCTAGAGCAGCATTTGGGAAAAAATGCAAGCGAAAACCCAACTCCCGGGAATCCTGTGTGTAAAAAACAGTACGCGGGGGGGGGGGGCGAACACTCCCAGCACGTCATCAGGGGAAAAGGGAGAGTAGTACTCATATTGAGTGATTGTGGAGGGGAAGGGGGCGGGGGCGGATGGCCTGCGGGTTGGAGCTCACCGCGTGGCAGGCGGACGGGGCCGAGACCCCGCGGGGCGCTCGTCAGAGAAGCGCCAGCAGCCTGCCAGGCATTGAGGCACGCCGCGCGCCCCTGTGGCGAGACCACAGGGCGCGGCAGATCGAAGACGCCTCTTGTGGGGCCAACACTCCCAACACGTCATCCGGGGAAGAGGGAGAGTAGTATTCATAGTGAGTAATTGTGGGGGAGGAGGAGGAGGAGGAGGAGGAGGAGGAGGAGGAGGAGGAGGAGGAGGAGGAGGAGGAGGAGGAGGGTTTCCTGGCCTTTCCGGGACCCTGGCGGGCTGGGCCGGAACCCCAGGGAGAGCTCTTTTGGGGAAAGAGCCAGAAACCAGAAGCGAAAAGGTTCAGCACGCCAGGCTCCCCTGTGGTGAAGCAACGGGGGGCGGCAGATCTATGGTGGCCTTCGGCCCATCCCGCCGCCTTTCGGCCCGCGTCTGGGGCCCTGTCGGGCCCGGCAGCGGCCATGCGGGACGACGCCCCGGGCGCGACAGGAACCCCGGGAGAACGTATAGAGTTCGAGGCTACGTGGCCCTCATCGAGGATCCTCAGGCTTGATGCATTCGGGGGTCTGGATGCGAGTTTAGACTCAACTGATGAGAGATATATATTCAGACATTTGAAAACGGAGGCTCAGGGGACTGAGCAAGGGGCCCGAGGACACGCCGGCTTCTGCCTCGGGGGCGCCCCAGACCCCCGACGTCCTGATTGTTTTCCAGAACGTGGCCCCCGAGCGGTCTGGACGTGGCCCCCGACGTCGCGATTGGCTCGTGACGTGGCCCCCGACGTGGGCCAGTGCTCCATATCGGGCCTCTTCTCGACCACCCTCGGGCGCCGGCGAGGGGTCCCGAATGAGGGCCGCACGCATTGCGGCAGACGCCCCGCCACGCCTCCCCCGCGGCCCTTGGGCGTCTCTGGGACGGTGGCGTTTAGTCGGGCATGTCCCTCTACAGGAGGAGTCTGAGCAAATAGTCAAAACAGAATGTGGGGACGATTTGTTTCGCTATGCTTTACTATTCTTATGCTTGGTTGACTCAGTTCCTAAGTTCCTAGATTTCTGCCAAAGTCCGCCTGCAGGAGGACATGCCCGACCTGACGGCTGGCGGGCAGTTCACTCTCTCAGCCTCCCCCACGGCCCGTGGGGCGTCTCTGGGACGGCGGAGCGGGCAGTTCAACGCAGCGACCCCTGAGATCCGACGTGGCGAAAAAGTTACAACCTCGGAGAAATTCGCGCCCGGAGCCCTATAGAGCCCAGCTCTCTGTCGGCGGCGAGCGAGGGGGGGATGTGAGAAGGAGAAGGCCTTCTCAGAAGGCTCGGAAGTCCCCCGGCCTTCTGAGAAGTTTTATAAGCCTTCCCCGAAGACAACAAGCAATTCTCAGAAGGCGCGAGGGCTTCTGGGAAGTCCCGCCGCCTTCTGAGAAGGCCTTCTCCTTCTCACTCCCCCCCTCGCTCGCCGCCAATTCTGCGTCGTTCTTCGGGCCGTATCGATCTGTGAGGGCCCCAGGGCCCGGAAAAAGCCGCGAAGACGCCCGGCTCGAAGCACTGCAGTCGCCAGGATCTCAGGGACCGGCGGGGGCGCTCGGGCGGCCGCGGCCGCGGCCGGCGCCGGGGGAGCCCCGCGGAGCTCGCCGCGGCGTGTCGGGCGGGGCCAGGCCCGTTCCAGCGCGTTCCGGAGCGCTCTCAGAGCGCTCGGAGCGCTCAGCCCGTTCGGCCGCCGAATGGGCTCGATCACTCAGCGGCCGGGTGGGCTCAGACGCCACACGGGCTCAGATCGGGCGGGGCCAGGACGGGGACAGATCCGTTCCAGCGCGTTCCGGAGCGCTCTCAGAGTGTCCGGGAGCGCTCTCTGAGGGAAGGCCGCGGCGCCCGAGACGTCCTCCCGAGCCGGGGGATCTCACAGATCCCCAGTTTATGCTCACCCGATCATATCCTCGTCCTGGCTTCGGGCCGCTCCAATTCCCCATGGCCGGCTTTTTGTTTTGAGTTGGTTTTTGACAGGCCCGAGTCGGTTTTTGCCAGCCCCGAAGCCCAGCGAGGGCCCCCGAGGCCGAAACCGGCAGAAAAAATCGCATTTGTTGAATATTTTTAGATTTTTCGCCCAAAATCCCCTTGTAGGGGGACAGACCCGACCTAACCCGAGGCCCGGCGAGGGCCGCCAGAGCCCGAAACCGGCCGAAGACTTGCTGCTCCACTTGTTGTTGGAGCGCCGGAGCTCTGGAGGGCTCGCCGGCCAGCATGCGGCGCGCCGCCGGTGCCTCGAGTCGAGGGAAGAGAAACGGAGACCATGATTCAGAAGGGGAAAAAACACGCAGACACAATTCATCGTCGATTCCCCCGAAAATATGGGAAAATGTGGGAAGCGGGGGGGGAGACAAAAACCAGGAAAATATTGTAAAATATAGGGAATCCGGTTATTTGTGTCTATTTATTTGTGTGTCCCAGAGCCCCTTCAATGACCAAGACGTCGCAGGATTTTGCCGATGCTGATCTTGGCCATGGTCCAGGCCGGCCGTCGCCGATTCGCGAGGAGGATCCACGAAAGGACGGTGACCAAGATCGATGGTGACCAAGATCGAGACGACGTTTGCGCGCTCAGTCTTGGCCCGGGCCGCTTCAACTTTTTGGGTGCGCGTGCCCCAGAGGTCTGGACCACTGCCCCAGGGACGGTTTTTCGTCCTGGGTCGTTCGTTGACGGCACCGGGGCCTGGCGAAGGCCCCTGGTGGCCGAAAATGGTCGAGGGCAACGATAGGGGGGAATAGGCATGGGGGGGATGCATCGACCCCCAATCGCCGATTGATCGCCGATAGGGGCCCTCCAATATCACACCCCGCCCAGGATGGTGCGGATTCACCATCGGGGGCCTATCGCCGATCTAGCGACGATGTATCGCCGATTCCAGGTCGATCCTCCCCCCCAGTGCCTATCCTTAGGTCGGGCCTGTCCCCCTACAGGCGGATTTTGGACGAAGAATATATAATATACCAATAATGCACCAAAAAGATGAAAAATAAAAAACGTTCCCAGAATATTTGGTTTTACTATTTGGGAATATTTCTCCTGTAGAGGGACAGGCCCGACTTCAGCCCATCCCCCCCCTGTCGCGGCCCTTCAGATCATTCGCCCCGCACCCGCCGCTCCCTCCTCCTCCTCCTCCTCCACCTCCTCCTCCTCCTCCTCCTCCACCTCCTCCTCCTCCTGCTCCTGCTCCTCCTCCTCCTCCTCCTCCTCCTCCTCCTCCTCCTCCTCCTCCTCCTCCCTCCCCCTCCAAATGTTGTCGGAGCGCCGGATCGCTGGGGAGCTCGCCGGCCGGCGTGCGGCGCGCCGCCGGTGCCCCGAGGCCGCTGCCCCCGGGCCTCGTGGCGGAGGCGCCGCGTGCACGGGAGCGCGGGGGCGGAAAAGAGGGGGGTGATGGCTAGGGGGGTGGCTATCATGGCGTGGGCCATGATATCTCCCCAGAGTTCATGGCGCCTCTCCTTATTTCATTGCGTCCCTGGCCCCCCCGCTGGGCCGCGCACATGCCGCCGGTCATGAGTCATGATTTGCACCCCCCCCTCTTGAACACCCCCCTCTTGGCAGCTCCCGATGGCAGCGCGGGGGCGGAGGGCGGCCTCCCCCAGCGTTTCAGTCGGGCGCGTCCCTCCACAGGAGGAGTATCAAAAAATAGGCGGGGGCGGAGGGCGGCCTCCTCCAGCGTTGAAGTCGGGCGCGTCCCTCCACAGGAGGAGTATCAAAACATAGGCGGGGGCGGAGGGCGGCCTCCTCCAGCGTTTAAGTCGGGCGCGTCCCTCCACAGGAGGAGTATCAAAAAATAGGCGGGGGCGGAGGGCGGCCTCCTCCAGCGTTGAAGTCGGGCGTGTCCCTCTACAGGAGGAGTATTAAAAAATGGTCCAACAAAAATGTTGTCGGGCCCCAGGGCCCTCGCACAGATCGATACGGCTCGAACAATGGCGCAGGCCGAAGCGGTCTGGGGCTCTGGGCATGATTGTTTACGATGTTGCGGTGTTTCGCTACGTCGGTTCTCGGGGCTCGGATAGCTATAGACTCGCGCCTCGGGGGCCCAAGCCGGACCTACCCCAGACTGCAGTTCTATTCCGGATAATTCGGGCGCCCAACCCTCCCGAGTCATCAGGGCTGGGGGCGGTCGGGGTGATAGCAACCCAGACATGCATGCGACGTCCTGATTTTTCCAATACGGGTTCCCTGGAAGTCCCGAGCTTTTCCTCCTGAGTCGTCTTCTGACGGCCCCGAGGCCCGTCGAGGGCCCTCCGAGGCCAGAAGCGGCCAAAAACCTCCCGCTCTGATTTGTTTCTCGCGACGCGATCCTGTCTCGGTACAGATCCGCGCCTCGGGGGCCCAAGCCGGAGTTGCCCCCCTGGACCGCAGTTGTTATACATCCCGGCTGGAGAGTTTCTCCGAAGGGCTTAGGCGACCCGTCCTCCTCCTCCTCCTTCACCTCCTCCTCCTCCTCCTCCTCCTCCTCCTATTCCTCCTCCCCCTCCTCCTCCTCCTCCTCCTCCTCCTCCTCCTCCTCCTCCTCCTCCTCGGGTCGCCGACGGCCCCGGGGGGAAACCGTGCAGCTCGGGCGTCCCAGGTCTGCCCCACGTCTTGGCCAACGTCTCACGTCGTGCTTACGTGTTCGGTCTGCGTGCTGAGCTCCGTATGAATACAGTCGGGGCCCTGAAGAAGGAATCCTTTTCGTTGGGGAGGGGCTCCGTGGTCCTTAATTGTTTCGCAGCTTGCCTTAGATGTTCCTTAGGGCTTCGGTGCGAAATCCAAGTTTAACTTATGGAAAATAGGGGCCTCGTTCCTTATTTAGGGTTTCTTAGGTCAACGCCTCGACTGTACGCTATATGTTGTGTGTTGCGCATCGGGGCAGCTAAACTCCGCAGAGGCCCTGCAGGCCCGCAGAGGTCTCCTGGAGAAGTGCCAGAACTCGGGCACGGAGCAGGCACCCGCCCAGAGGAGTCGAGTAAGGGCACCTGCGCCGGCGGATTGGGCGTTGGCATTCGAGTGCAGCGGTGCAGTCCCCAGTCGGTTTCGCTAGTGGGCGTGCGCCTCGTCGGATACATTTGGCTGCTCTTTGAGGTTGAGTAACTACTCCGCTGGCCCCCCCTCTGAAGGAGGTGCCGTGCTCACGTGGAATGCATCTGGCAGCTGTCACTAAATGACATGTTGCTAAACATTGTTCTGACAATCTTCGCTGGCGAGCCCAGGGGGGGGGGAATGAGAGGGGGCAGGCCTTCTCAGAAGGCGGCAAGGCTTCTCAGAAGCCTTCGCGGCTCTGAGAAGTCTTCCAAGCATTCTCCGAAGGCAGAAACGGTCTCTCAGAAGGCGCGAGGGCATCTGAGAAGCCTCGCCGCCTTCACAGGAGGCCTGCCCCCTCTCACATCACCCCCGGGCTCGCCGCCAAGGAGGAGGAGGCGGGGGAGGAGGAGGAGGGGGAGGAGTGGAGTGGAGTGGAGTGGAGTGGACTCCGCTGCGCAGCAGGTTCGAATCTTAGGAAGGCCTGGACAGACGAGCATTCGAACGCCGAGTAGCTTGCTCAGCTCGGCTCAGAACTTTGGGATGTAACCCCCGTGCAATTCTGTCAAGGTACTCTTGCCCCGTGGCGGACTTCCTCTTACTACAGGGGCCCTTAAGAGATCGCAGAGCCTTATCCGCGATACCCCCACACTCTGTGCAAAACCAAATCTGAAGGGTCGGGTGAACATTCAGGGTATGCGTAGAGTGGGCCCAACCCCCCGCGATATGAACTCGCGACCCCTTTAAAGGCGAAAACACAACCCCATCGACATTGTACAGCCTAGGACATTCAGATTCGACGAATTCCTGAGCGGTAGCGAGGGATGCAGAACAGAAACAGGAGAGGCAACGTCGGCCGCAGTCGGCCAGACGGTGCCTGGACATGAGGGCAGCAACAGCAGCAGCTGAGGGAGGCGGAGGAAGAGGAGGAGCGGGAGGAGGCGGGGCCTCAGAAGGGCCCCCAGGGCCTCGGGTGGCATCCCTTTCCCTTCTCTCAGCCTCCTGGCTGGCAGCCATGCTATCCAGCGTGGCTCGGAGGAGCCTCAGGCGGACGAGGTACGCCCTCCGCTCAGCCAGCAGGATGGGTTGACGGACCTCGGCGGGCAGCCTGGCTCTGGCCGCTGCACAGCCCGCGAACTCGTCGGCGAGCAGGTTGCCGATGACAAGGTACCTGTTCACCGTCTGGGCGGCAACGTCCTGAGCCGTGCTGTGGGACGGCGTCCAGAGTACCGTCACCTCGGCGTGGCGGCGTGAGCTCATCAGGTCCCCGATGAGCTTCCATAGGTCGGCGTCCTCGCCTGCTGGGTTCAGGTAGGCTTGGGAGTACCAGCCCGCCGCAACGTACTCGCAGTCCGTCACGTAGGTGAGGTACCTGGTCGTGCACCAGAGCGCGAGGTACAGGGAGTAGAGCTCCCCTCTCGCCACCACTTGGCGCGGGCCACCAAGCTGGCCGAAGACTGCACCATGTAGGTTGATCTCGGGCAGCAGGCTGGCCACACATACTATGGCAACTCCGATCCGCATGAAATCACTGATGCTCGCATCTGGTCCTCCACTGGCGTCACCGAATATCTCGACTGGTGACTCAGCGCTCCCCGCCCCGAAGATCCCCTCGGAGAGCTCGTTGATGCCCGTGAACTCCAGGACCGTGTCCTTCGGTGGGGGCGGGGTCTGGGTCCACTGGCTCGGTAGCAACCCGCGTAGCCAGAAACAGTCGGTGGCGTCCGTCTGGGCCAGCGCGGCTGGAACCAAAGACTCTGAGCGAGTATAGGGCGTGGCCGACACGTTCTTGCTGCACTGCCAGAATCTGTGCTTGGCCGTTTCTGGTGCTTCTCGGCAGCGGTCACACATGTTGCTGCCCTTATAACCCTTCAATTCATCATAGCGCCTCTGTCGCGTCCAATATCCACCTGTAGCAATATTGATCAGCAACTCGGTGAGGCGCACACCGTGAGGGAGTTGTCCAACTTGTTTGAGCAACAGCCGAAATGACCGATTGTCAACTCCATGCTCGACTCCACCTCCGCAGTAGTGTTTGGCAGCCGTGGTCCACGCCACCTGGGCTGCCGACTGACGTACATCCTTCAACAATTCACGGTGTGTGTCCAGAAACTTATTGCCCGTGTATATGGCGTCTGGAAATTGCCATTCCTCCGACCCCGTGGGCGTGGTGTACGACCACGTGTCCACATCCTCAGGGTTCCAATTGATGCGGAGGAGGGTGAGGATTACTGCAGACACAGGGCCACGAACTGCACGCACCTGATGTTGAGGGTCCAGCTGTGACAGATGGTCTCGGACATGATGCCAGACTTGTCGTACTCGCTGGCGCAGACCTGGCTGTTGCTGCCAGACGCTAAGCCACATGTCCACGGTCCTGGCTGGCATCGCCACTGCAGGGTCCCCTCCTGGCGCTCTCAGGTCCAGAAGGGTAGTGAGGCAGCGGCCTCTAGTAGCAGCTGCGCAGATCTGACCGAGTCGACGGCGGTGGGTGGTCAGCTGATGGCCGAACATCCCGTGCACCTCGAAGCCGTAGGAGCCCGCAGGTTGGCAGCCGTTGCGCTCCAGCCGCGTCGTGATCCCGTACCGCCGAGTAGCTCGGCTGAATCTCTCCACCTTCTCGTTCATCGCTCCGTGTTTGATCTGTCTCTGCGTCCTGGTAGCACGGCCCTGCTTGCCGCAGCTGAAGTCCACCCCCAGGTACGGCGCTTGCGCCAGAGCCCTGACTGGGAAACCCTTGAGCTTGGCAGCCCGGGCTACAGCACGAGCGTCAGCGGCGTTCGTGCACATGACGACTGACTTCTTGGCCAACTTGAGGCCTGCCTTGGCAAGCTCTTGGCCCGCCTTCACAACTCCGCGTATGAGGTTAGCCCTTACTGCCTGGCGTGAGCCCGTGATCTTCTGGCAGATATCGTCTATCCAAACGCGGTGGTTCATCCTGGGTGTCGCCGTAACCACCACCTGCATCACGAAGTGGGTGAGGATCTTGGCGAATCTGGTTCCCCCTCGCAGCCCCTGGATGACTGACTGGCAGGGCTCGAAGGGGGTGCACACTGCTCCTTCCTGGGATAACGTCCGCATCGTGATGCACTGAAGGAGCTCCAAATATAAAATGACTGGTGGGAAATGGAGCCTCAAGGCCGCCCTCGCCAGGGGCAGCCAAGGTATTGAATCATAAAATTCCTGAATGTCAAGCAGTCCTTGACCAAATTCCATTCGCATCCAGTGCGCTACCTCTTCATCAATGGCATGAAGATATGCTTCGCGTAAACAACTGTTCCCAGCAACTGCGGCATCCCATGCCTGTTCTTCATCTTTGCTCCATTGCTTAACTATAGGTTCC